AAAAAAAAAAAAACTTACCAAAAAGGAATGTAGCATTATGGGTTGACTTTGTTAGTGCGAAATTTGATCATGCTGTGAAGAATCTTCTTGATAACCCTGCACTTGCCAATACTTATATGGATCAAAGTCCCTTTTCGAAAATCACAGCTGACGATGATACGCACATTTAATATGACTATCGCACTTGTCCCTCATTATAAGTAAGATTATTCGAAACGATCTACCAGCTGAAGCAAAATGTATTATAAAGCAGAAACTAGATGATTCAACGATTAAAATCTCTAACTACGTATCCCAATTTACATCTGTTGGTTGCATGATGATGACCGAATTAAAGAATTGTGTGTTTGATGTGGATCATAATACTGGTTAATTCAAGCTAGCAAGATCCTCAGTATTCAATATTGCAAGCATATTACCAATTGACTTCGCCTGCCGATATGATCGACCCATACACTTTGCAGCGTCTGCAGTGTCCGAAGATTTTCTTGATTCGTCCGTTTTTACTCAAGATTTCAATCTATTATTTGGGGACTAGAGCTGATATACTCGCTCGACACCCAGTTCAAATGACTCTTCTCGACATCCTTCAAAGCTCCAATATACTTCCTAATTTTTTCAATGACCGAGGGTTGTCATCCGTTGAATTACAATATGCTCGTATACAATACGCTACCAATCTGGATGCTATATGGAGTAACAAAAAATCATCAATAAGCTTCTTGACTGCATCTTAATAATCTTATTAAGAATCCACCTTGTACCTATCAGAGAGAAAAAGTACAATTCTTGGAGTAAGAAAAACGTATCAACAAGATCAAGCTCTGAATCAATCACATCAAGAGAAATAGAATGAGAAATATTCTTCGACAGGAGCACTAAAGGTTTGAAAAGCTTTATAAAAAATGCGTTTCTAGCTATGAACCATACAACATATTGAAGTTTCAAAAATACTAAACAAGATTACAGTCTTTGAAAAGCCGTTTGTTAAACGTATGTATATAATAATCTTTATTACTTTAAGCATGTATATTCATTACTATTACAGCGTAAATCTCAATGTCGTGAAGCTCAGCAAAATTTAAAAGATGATGTTCCAGCCCCTTTATTTGACAACGAAGACGATGGTGATGATGATGCATTCATTAATACTTCAATATTCCCTTTGAAAAAAGATGTATCCAGCAGACGGCTTCGACAATTAAAAGCAATTGTTAAAAATTAACTCTTTGACGAAAATCGTAGTAATCCTTTATATACTGATCAGCTACAGCCTGAAAAGCTCCCAATATGCGAATTGGTCATTAAATCATCAAAGTCATACATCCCAAAAAAGAAATATTATTCAATCCTGACCCATCAATTATCATTTGTGATTCTTGCCAATGATATATTGAAATTCACAGGTTATGATAAATTCTGTATGAATGTATGCCCGTTACCTAGAGCTTCCACAGTCAATGCAATGCGTTTAGATTCTCCATCCTTGTATCGTATATTGCCCCGCTTTGATCCAGCAAAATTCCAAATCCTTGATTTCGACAATCATTTAATAGATTCTGAAGATCAAGCTCGCAGACACAAGGATGCTGCCTTTGGCTCAATTTTTGACTTAGCTGCCATTACCTCAATATGTCAGTCTTTAGGACTTAAATTTGCACAAAGTATTACTGTTTTGCCTGGATCGAAATCGGTACACTTACTAGGCACAAAAATTAAACAAAGCAAACTCACGCAAGAAAATCAGCAAAATGAACAAAGTCGATTTTAAAAAAAAAATAGTACATGATCCTCTTGTCGTTCAAGAAAGCCAAAAGATGGTTGAGACTCTTCATCGGGAGCTTGATTCTTTACAAGTACAAGTATCAGAGCTTACCAACTTGTCAAAAATGGTCGGCAAAGAAGAAAAGTCAGAAAACTATTCGCAAGTGTTAAAGTCACTTCATTCACAATGGAAGAGTAGTTCAGCTTTGGAACGTCAATAATTATATCCAATAATTGAACAAGTTAAGCAATCGCGCAATGACTCATTCAACAAAAGGATTCATATACAGAATCAATTACGTGACAGAAGAAAACAGTTGCATATAAAAAAAAAAATGGCAATAATGCGCAAAAATAAAATGGCTAATAATCGCCTTCCTTGTCCGCCTGAATCTGAACGTCAGCTTACTCATGCTCAAGTTATTGAGAATAGTTTATTTTCACCCAATGTCAATGCTGCTCAAGACTTTACGTTTTCAGGAACAGATAATGGCCTTCACACCATGACTGATACGGTTGCTTTTACTTTGAAACGTTTTAAATTTCATTTAGAGCTTTACAACCGATACTATATTCTTGGAGATGTACAAAATGATGATCCTCACCTTGCTGATATTCTTGAAAGATATCATAACGATGCTATTGATTCCGAATGTATGGACGAAAACGTATCTTACCTTGATTTGCCCAACTCTTTTAAAGTGAAATCAGAAGACGTCGACTTTGGATGCGGAAACTGGAGGAGAAGAAAAAAGCTTGAAAGAGATAAAAAGAGAATCGTTGAGGGCCAAATAGTACAGAGCATCGAAAATAATTTACCAAAATTCACTATGGATCACACTGTTAATGTTGAAGAAATAAAAGAAGTCCTTTCACAGCAGTATGCGGTTCGTGACACTCTTAGAAAACTATATTACTCCAACAAAAGAGTTAAAGAAGAGAGAACGACGCAGGTTCAACAAAAAAGGTTTACATTAAAGCTTTGTACTTCAGAACGACGATTTATAGTTGATCAAAATGGTAACAATGCAATATTAAAATCCACAAGAATCTAATTAAAAATTTTAGATTAGCAATCGAAAACAAAGCCAGTAATGCTCATAGGTGATAAAGAAACAGGCGCTGGTTCAAGAGTAAAGGGCTTTCTTAGATATGGTGGAAAATGGAAACAAAAGATTCAGGGAAAGTACATAAACGTGTGCATAGCTGACGAATATATGACCTCACAAACCTGTCTATACTGCTTTTCAAAGCTCGACCATCCTATATAAAGAAAAACGGAAAAGGAAGATAAATCAGTTTCAAGAACAAAGGATTCCTTTTATGTAAAAATCCAAAGTGCATCATAGTCAAGAACAACAAAGCATTCAAATCAAGAGATTCTCTTTCTGCTTTAGAAATTGGTATTTCTGGATTGTGCAAACTCTTGTTTAAACAAACTCTTCCTATATTCTCGCCTAGCATCAGTCACTCCAATACTGATTTTATTTCTATTACCTCTTCCTTGCTTAACACAAGAGAATGACAGGGCCATCGTGATGCAAATACTCGGTAAGGATAAAACTACTTTTTTAAACCTTGAACTCATGACTGTTTGGTTGGGTTTTAGAATTTTCGACGTCAAAAACAAGGTCTGATATGGATGGGAATTATATGACAGTTATCTTTAAGGTTTTGAGAAAGCAGGCAGTCTCTCTAACACGTAATTCAACTGTTGTAGTATAGTAATATATACTTTACAAGTTTGACATACTAATTCTTTGTTTTTTATTCAATTTAGTTTAAACAGAAGGTATCATATTTACCCTATAAACATCATTAAAAACATTGTCATCTCTACTACAGCCCTTTAACTAACTTACCGGCACTTTCTTGGCCGTAACACATTTGCTTTTACTTAATGTCTTTAGACAATCAATCACTTTTGGCTGAGCAATACTTGTCACCTTTACCAAATCTTTCCTTGATCTATAACACGTATTGTTATTATACTAAATGGCAACAAAGAAAAGAAAGATCTTACAGTCCATCAGGATGCGATATTAATGCCTCCAATACCTTTCGCATATTTGCATTTGATTCCTAAAGTATAAAGTTATTATTTTTATGTCAAAAGCATATCATCTTACCGTTCTTCCACGGTAAGCCTCTGGTAGCTTGCCGATAACCTTATCAATCTGCGCCTATATATACATATTAGTTGAATGCTAACTCATCTCAATATCTTACCTTAGATACTGTTCGTTGCTTTTTGGAAGGAAGCTGGTCCATGGCGCTTTTTCTTTTTTTGGGACGAGCTGCCGATTCATGATTTGGTATCACAGTAGGCATAGGTACATTGGACGGCGAAACATTTTCTAAAAGAAAAGGTTCATGTATTGAACTACAAGTTTTTTTTACCAAGTTGAGTAGTTGTATTGTTGTTGTTCTCTGTTGATGTGGCAATGGATGTAGCGTTGTTATGAATATTGCTGTTATTAATGTGTTGTTGAGTTGATGTATAATGTTCAAGCATTTGTTCTGTTGGTGCCTTGATGTAACATGTGTAAGTAAGGATCATTTTTTCTTTTGATCAAACTTACGTGTTCCCATTGTATTGTCTTACTATTGGCTTGTATTCCAAAAAGAAACGATCCAAATGAACGATTGAACTCGATCAGAGCACCGTCAAGATCTGTTAGTTTTTCATATTTATCTGCCACGTTCTTTAATGTTCTATTCAGTTGGTTTAACGCAGGTCCTAATATAGCTTCTACTGATGGTAAAGAGCTGCTTTGGTTTTCTTGCATTATAAAAAAAAATGAAAATGAGAAAAAGAGGCTTTCTATTTACAAATAGTAGAGACTTTATTTTTATATGATTTTTAAATAGAATGTGGGTTCGAATGGAATGGTGACCAGATACCACGAACACTTTCAGTAGTAGAAATAACAGGCTTCTTGGTTAAATCCTTCATCTTTTCACCGCTAGAGTCTCTCAAGAGTTGTACTTTTTTGTTAATTTCTGATGGAGACAAGTTGCGTGTGCAAATGACTTTATCTCGACCATTTACTAAAACACATGTTAAAACAAATAATTGCATAAATCATATAAATCTTACAATAGTAGCCACGAATGACGGGATGATGTGCAGGTCTAGGTTCAACAACAATTTCAATCTGAGGATTCTCTGTTGCAAACTTGACTAAATCTTTCTTGATGTATTCACTTTTTGTATTCAAACAAGATAAGTATAAATAGATAAATAAATAAACTATGTCCTTACATCATGCCCTTGTTGCTTCCCCACTTTTCACAGTAGTTAAAGACCATTTTGCGACATTGAAGCACAAATGCTCCTGTGCCATTGTTTGTTTTGGGCAGTAATCTACTAGCAAAGGCTGACATGTTTAAAGTTCTTTTAAAAAAAAGAAGGGGTAAAGAAAATAGGTAACCAGCCTGGGCCGTTCGTGTGGCTTGCTTTGTAGGTGTGACTGTTGTCTTTTACTGTTGTATCAGAGAATTTCCATGTACAAGATCTTATTTCTTTATTAGATAATGTAAAGTCTAGATCTTGTTATTATTCATGTATATTCATAACTCACTTGTATAATAATTAGGTCTCGTCTTATTGTAAAAAATTTACCTAAAGAGTTGTCAGAAGAAAAATTCCGTGAGCATTTTGCAAAGAAAGGAGAAGTGACAGATGCCAAACTTATGAAAACAAAGTAAGCCTCTTACTTGGTATCAAGCCTCATTTTCTCATCAATTTACTTAAATTTAGGCAAGGAACCTCTCGGCGGTTTGGCTTTATTGGATATAAAACAGAAGCAGCTGCAGAGGCAGCTATCAATTATTTCAACAATACCTTTATAAACACCTCTAGAATTGTAGTTGAAAAGGCAATTGCTTATAGATCTGAAGAATTGCCAAGACCATGGAGTAAATATACACCAGGATCTTCAGCTCACGAAAAAAAGGAGGAAGATCGCAAGCAAAAGAAAAGCAAAAAGAATGATTTCGAAGTAGAAGAAACGGATGCTTTTCGAGCCAAACAGAAAAAGAATGAAAAGACTGAAGAACTTATCAATCAACTGAATGCAGATAAGAATGATCCTAAACTGAAAGAATATTTGGAAGTCATGATGCCTCGATCTAAGGGCAAAACTTGGGGTAATGATGATGTTGCGCCTTCAGCTGAAGCGGAGAAGCAGGAAGATGAAGAGACAGTAGTAGTTCACCATAACGAATCAGATGATGAGTATCAAGATTTACCAATGAAGAAGAAGAAAGAACATAAAGAGGATGAAGATGTTGAAATGGAGGATAGCAATGCACAAATAGAAAGTGACGTAAAAGATGATCCTATGGATACAGATAAAGAAAGTGAAAAACCAAAAGATCCAAAGGATTCCATTGCTGAAACTGGACGTCTCTTTGTTCGTAATTTAACATATGCCTGTACAGAAGATGACTTGAAACAAATGTTTGAAAAGTATGGAACACTCTCTGAAGTCCATATGCCAATCGCAAAGGATACCAAAAAGTCAAAAGGTTATGCTTATATTTCTTATATGCTTCCAGAACATGCTGTCAAAGCATACGAAGCATTGGACATGAAGACGTTTCAGGGTCGCTTGTTGCATATTATACCTGGCGAAGAAAAACCACCTACAAAAGAAGAGGAAATTGTGGGAGTGAACGGTACTAAATTGAGTTCAGTGAAAAAAGAAAAAGAAAAGAAGCGCAGAAATCTCGCTGGCAACGACTTTAATTGGAACTCACTTTACATGAGTGTAAGTTGTGTGATTTTGCATTTATATAGTAGGCTAATTTGTATCGTTCAATATAGGCAGATGCCATTGCCGAATCTATTGCTGATCGTCTTGGCATATCAAAATCCGACGTCTTGAATGCGGACGCTAACAATATGGCTGTCAGACTTGCATTGGCAGAAACACAAATTGTTAATGAAACAAAGGAATTCTTTGAAAAACATGGTATTGTACTTGATAGTTTTGGCAAGAAAGAAAGAAGTGAAACGATTATCTTGGTTAAAAATATCCCATACGGCACAACAGAAGATGAGATGAGAGAACTGTTTGGAAAATATGGTGAATTGGGTCGAGTAAGTGATATGGTTTTGGCTTGATTGCTCGCAGCTAACACATCCAATAGGTCCTTATGCCACCAGCCAAGACAATTGCAGTAGTAGAATTCCTTGAGCCAAGTGAAGCAAGAAATGCATTTAAAGCATTGGCTTATCGTCGCTTTAAAGACTCTCTAATTTACTTGGAAAAAGCACCCAGTGGACTGTTTAAAGATAAGTTTGTGCGTGGTGATGCTAAACAAGATAAAAAGGAAGAAAAGGAAGAAGAGACTGAACAGAAGCCAAAGAGTGCAACAGAATTACTTGGAGCTGATGAAGATAATGCCAGCGATGATATTACTTCGGTTTTTGTCAAGAATCTCAACTTTAATACAACCATTGAATCTCTTCGTAATGCTTTCAAAGGAATCGAGGGCTACAGATCGTCTCGTATTAATGTCAAACCTGACCCAAAGAATCCTGGAAAGACCTTAAGTATGGGCTATGGCTTCATAGAATTCAATAACAAGACAAATGCTGAAAAGGCAATAAAGGCAATGCAGGTAAATCATAAGCTATGGCAATAAATACCTCTTTATATCGGAACTAACCATATATCACACACATATAGGGATATATGCTTGATGACCACGCATTAGATCTCAAGCTATCACATCACAAGACATCTACGAGTACAAAGAAATCAAAGACACCCGATACAACTAAAATCATTGTGCGAAACGTTCCATTTGAAGCCACAGCTAAAGATTTACGAGAACTATTTAGGTAAGAATGATATACAAAGTATATAGTTTATCTGACATAAACACTATCTATTATAGTGCCTATGGTCAATTAAAATCACTGCGTTTACCCAAAAAATTTACAGGTGGTCACAGAGGTTTTGCTTTCTTAGACTTTATGACAAAGCAAGAAGCCAAGAATGTATATGACAATATGGCAAATATTCACTTGTATGGCCGTCATCTTGTTCTTGAATGGGCCAAAGAAGAAGATAAAGCATCTGATAATTTGCTAGATGCTTCAAGAAAAAGAAGACGCGAAGAAAGTGACGATTTTGTTCCTTTGTAAATAAACCATCAGATATGTAATAGAGCTTTTAAAATGCAAGTTTATGTGCTTTATTCAGTATACTGTGTTTTTATTAAGAACCTGCCAGTGTCTATTTTAAACGAGAGTAAAATCTCGCTCATACAGGAATTCTTTGACATGACGACACTGCTTATCAATTTAAGAAAGGAAGCCTTTACTATGATGCTAACGCCAGCCCTCTGGAACACTTGAAGGCTTACTACAAGCTGGCTGATCTTTGCGAGCGATCTGGGCTCAAATCGTTCATGTGTTTCCTACTGAGAAAGATATTGATTTCATACTACATGACAATTGACACTTTGATAGCAAACAATCACATTTTACAAAATTGTAAACGTTTCAAGTTGGATGAAAAACTTATTTGAGGTGAGGTGCTCGATATTTCATGTAAAGCCGTCAAAGGCCAAGGCTCAAATAAATCAACCCAATTCCAAGGGATGGTGCAGACTGATGGGGTTGGTGTTTCTATCCTTAAACAAAACCAAGAAACGCGAAAAGGTGGTACAAGTCGTAGTACAACGTCTGACTCTGTAGATGAAGAAAGAATTGCATATATACATGAAGTAACAAATAAACAACTCCAAGAGATTACTAATAGATGTGTTTTTATTGGCCCGGGACGTAGAGATTTGTTGTATTGCATGCATGAAAGGTGCAAAGAAAAAAAATGGGAACATTTATCGGTACATTAACAATCAAAAAGCAAAGGAAACTAAATCTAGAAAGCTCCGAAAGCTGAGCTTAACCCAATTGAACAATTCTGGGCAGTGGCAAAGAGTAAGGTTAAGCGCCATAGGTTTTTGTAGGAAGACACTTTGTCCAAGAGAATTACAGAAGCTTGCAACAGTGTAGAAAAAAGTCATTTCAAAGGGTTCGTTTCGCACTCTTACAAATGCTGGGATGACTGTCGAAACAGAGTTCCCATTTAATGGCAAACGACTCATCAAAAAGCAAATAATGCAGCGATGAGAATCAGATAAGCAGCAATCAGGTAGCTAACATCATGTTTTTTTGGCCAATATAAAAGATAAAATACAAAAAAAAAAGGTTTACGGTTGTAAAGTAAAAAAAATCATATCATGTAAAAGGTAAGAGACAAAGTATATCAATCATAAAAATGACAAAGATAGGGTTTACATTGAAACAATCATCAAAGCAGGAGACAGAATAGTGAATATATCCATGGAGATCCTTGTGAGTTACCATATTGCAAGCTTCGAATATTACTTGAAGATAGAATGCCAGAATCTAGCAGTACTTCCCTCCTGATTAAGTATTTCACCTTGGATCAGAATTGTTCAATTGGATTCAGTTTCGGAGAGTATGGAGGCAGATAAGTGCAGCAGTAGTCACGTTCAGTAAGCAACAGTTCATGTTTTTTGATTGATGTATTGGTGCGTTGTCCATCATCAGAGAGTAGCTTTTGAATTCGAGGTATTCCTCCATCGCGTCTATCGCATGCTATAAAAACATCTTATAGTGGTTAGTACTTTTGTTCTTGTGACTTTATCATTTCATTGTCGCTTTCCTTTTGCAGGAGTTGTTCAAGTTTTGCGCTTTTTTTTATTGGCTTTTGATTTTCTGATCGATGTATTAATAGCGTCAGAAGCATATGGGGCATCCATTGCCAGGGATAAGGCGATAAGGAATCCAGATTCGTTGACAAATATACAGTTTTTCAGGTAACACTTAGCATGCTGTTGTTTTTGAGTATTTCAGACGACCCCCACCTCGCAAGAGAACCCAAGTCAAAGAACCATTAGTCAATCATATCCTCAGTAATTATAATCCACGCTTAGAATAATAGCTTATCAGTCATTTGATAGCAACTATAAATAATAGATCATTAATTTATTTGTATGTTCTTTGTATCTTTATCTCAGAATAAAGATTAGTCTCAAAGAGTACTTCTTTTGTCTTTGTCTAGTGTCTTATAAACCATTACACAACATACCTGTTTTCCGTAAAAGAAGAAAAAATTACTTGGGTGATAAAGCTATCTGCAAACTGTTGAGTTGTAGGCTTGGAATAATATCGCTCAAAGGTGTCAGCGTTCATGCTCCAAAGTTTGCGCGTCGTTTGGCGGATTCGATGATTTTGCCTTGTTGTACCGCTTTGGCACTTGCCGCTGATCTTAAGGAATGAGTCATGTGATTTCATTGATTCCAGCTTTCTTTATACGGTGTTTAATCCAGGTTGTCGCCCGCGACGGACGTATTGAGGTGACTTTATCTTCTTTGTTCAGGTATCCCAGAAACAGAATATGATCGCTTAAGAGGTGAATTCGTGAAGGGCCCGATTTCTGTAAGAATGAGTGCAAAATGTAGCCGGGCAAATCACATTGTCATCCAGCCCTCCAGGGAGGATGTCACCTGCTGGTATTGAATAGTGCTCAGTGTTATTTTCGAATTGAATAGGTAATGTTAGTTGAGTCTTTGGTTGTTGTTTGTGCTTGAGAATCCAGTTGAAAGTTCCAGAACTTCGCCAGTCGTTTATTCTCTATGGTCGCGAACGCATCTATTGTCATTCTGCCAGTGTTGCTGAATCATTTCGAAGAAGTGCCTTGTAAGAGTCCATTCGTATGGTGGTTTCTTCTATCTGCTGGGGTAGTCTGGTCGAACATTTTTCACTTCCTTTTCGTGAAAGTATCTTAACATCAGTTGGTTGATCGTGATGACTTGCTGTATTCCCAAGCTTAATGTCTGAAGTAGCATGATACTATTCCTCAAGACTTCTTCGCATGTTCCAGTGCTGTCATATTATCGGTGTACACGTATATCAACCAGTTTCGGAATTTTCGTGCGTGTAGCTGAAGGGTAAATAAAATTGTCTTCAGTTCTCTGGCATTGATCGAAGTGCCGCTTTCGACCTCTGACCCAAACCCGTATGTTTCCTTCATTTGACGTGACACCCCAACCTGTATCTGAGACGTCTATGTGAATACTGATATCCAGTTCTCTGATGCCTGTATCCATCTTTATTGGTAGACCGTTTGAGAGTTGTATGCTTTTGATGTACCATTGTAGTTCCTTCCAACGTTCAGCAGATAATGGACATGGCTTTTCCTAGTTGTATTGCTGTCTCCATAAATTTATCGTTGGATCTCGCTGTAGAAACCGGATTCTCGTTGTCGTATCTGAATATAAACTTCATATCATATTTTTGCCTAAAACATCCAGCGTTAACATTACTACATTATCAACATCTCAATACAGAGATCTCTGCATCCAATGTTATACAGTCTTTCCGGAAAGTAAATTTTTTTTTTGTAAAATGGTATATTTTATTCAAGTACTGCCAGTTAGCTTGTACTTATTAAAGAAAATAATAAAGA